CGCCATGATGAGAGGTCCGCTCAAAGGCAGATGCGCGTTGCGACAGTCAGTAATCCACCGGAGCAAAGCTTCTTCGAGCTGGGGATCAGCTGCGGTTCGCAACCACTTTCTAGAGGCATGAAACTTCTCGCTTTCGAAGGCTTGTCGAATCTGTTGTTCATTTTTCACGTACAATCCCAACGTGCTCCGCTTCACGTTGTACTTGGTCATAACCTGCTGTCACAATTCGCCGTTCTTCAGTGCTTCCAAAATTTCCACTTTAGTCGCCAAGTTCTTCGCGTCGTAGTTCTGCCGCTTTTTCGGCGTTGCCATCACTGTAGCGCACGATGGTGGTGGCATGCAAATACGATCACAATAGAAGAAAAAGAGAACTCCGCAAGAAGAGATCGTTCCGACACGACAACACAAGGGGAAATGGCGTCGGAGGTGCTGAGTGGAGAAGAAAGAAGATGCCGACGTTCGGTGGCACTGCGATCGCCCCCACTAGTTGATGATGATGGCGATGCCACTCAGGTGTCGGTTTCACTCCAGTGGCGCCAGCGCTGCTTTATCACACTTTTGTGTAGCAGCAGCCATCAGCATTTGTCCGAATTAAATGATGTGGAGCCGAATTCCGACGAAATAACGAAGGTTTGGTCCCATAGATTATAATGCACTTTGGCCGGGACCAATAGAGCCGTCCGAATTATCCGAATTAACGGGTGTCGAATTAACAAGCTTTTACTGTATTATATAAGTACAAACAATAAAGTACCATAACAGAGAAGCAATAAAGTACCATAATAAAGAAACAACAAAGAACACGATTCTTAAGTTCATTAACGTGCATGAAACGGCTTGAGGTGCATGACATGAACTACTTCCGGTCACGCACGCCACCATTGAGAGTTCGTGATGCTGTCGGGGACAACGTCATAGCCGAGTGTACCGACACATCAAATTACCCGGTACGGTCCGAAGTACCGTAGCAGAAATTTTTCACTGAGGCCACGTTGACGCGTCCGTACCCAAACGCGGTCGCCAGGTTGGTATTCTACGAAGTGTCGTCGAAGATTCCAACGGCGGCTGTCGGTCATCTGTTGGTTCTTCATGCGGAGGCGGGCGAGTTGTCGAGCTTCTTCGGTGCGCTGATGGTAGACAGTCACGTCAAGGTTTTTTTCGTCAGTGATGTTTGGTAACATGACATCCAGTGTCGTCGCTGGGTTCTTTCTATAGACTAACATGTATGGCGATATCTGCATCGTATCCTGTACTGTCGTGTTGTATGCGAAGGTGATTGATTGTAACATGACATCCAGTGTCGTCGCTGGGTTCTTTCTATAGACTAACATGTATGGCGATATCTGCATCGTATCCTGTACTGTCGTGTTGTATGCGAAGGTGATGTCTAGAAGGATGGTGTGCCACGTCCTGTGTTCGACAATGGCGTACATGGCCGACATGTCGGCGATTGTCTTGTTTAGCCGCCCCGCCGCGGTGGTCTAGTGGCTAAGGTACTCGGCTGCTAACTTGCAGGTCACGGGATCGAATCCCGGCTGTGGCGGCTGCATTTCCAATGGAGGCGGAAATGTTGTAGGCCCGTGTGCAAAGAACCTCAGGTGGTTGAAATTTCCGGAGCCCTCAATTACGGCGTCTCTCACAATCATATGGTGGTTTTGGAACGTTAAACACCACATATCAATCAAATCAATGTCTTTTTTAGCCGCTCAGTGAGGCCCTTGGTTTGTGGGTGGTACGTTGTAGTCTAGCGGTGGCTTTTCTGGCTGTATGCCAAGATCGCCTGAGTAAACTCAGCAGTGACGGCCGTACATCTGTCACTGATGAGGACCTGTGGCGCTCCATGATGCAAGACGATGTCTTCAACAAACAACTTCGCTACCTCGGCTGCACTGCCTCTAGGCAGGGCCTTTGTTTCGGCGTAGCGGTTGAAGTAGTCGGTGGCAACAACGATCCATTTATTCCAGCATAGAAAACGATCCCGGTAGATCCACACCGATGTGCTGGAACGATCGGTGACGTGGTTCGATCGACTGAAGGAAGCCTGCTGGTCTTGTCGGCGGTGTATTTCGACGTTGACAGTCTCGGCATGTCCTGACGTAACAAGAGACATCGGCAGCAAGTCGTGGCCACTTTTCCTGTATTCTTGCGAGCCTACGGAAAACACCGAGATACCCAGCCGTCGGGTCGTTGTGCACAGCCTGAAGGACTTCTGGTCAAACTGCTGAGGGAACTACGACAAGGTCTTTAGCTCAAAGGAGCGAGAAGTTCTTCTTTAGGAGAAGTCCATTTTGCAGAAAAAACGATGCCAGTCCTCTCCTGAATACCTTTGAAAAAGTGGCGTTGCCACCTTCAAGGAATTTCTATGGTTGTCATAGTTAACTGAAATGCATACCTGCAAAAAACAAGATGTCTTCACTGCAACACAGTAGTGACACACTTCTGCTTCTCGCTGCGTCAGCACGCCAAGATGCAACCATTCGCCCATTCTGTCTAGTAGAATAAAAAAAATTAATAATGGACAGTGTGACGAAATTTCTGATGTGTTCTGGCTGGAAAACATGATCATTGAAGCATTCTCACAGATTTTTGAAAGAAATATATTTCTTTAGTGCGCAAGGAACGTTTCCAGAAGGAAGATAGAGCCGAAAGATAGGACAGAGCGCCCACTTCAGAAATCCAGAACTCTTCGAGAATTCAAAAATTCCACATGTTGCGTCTGCTCTTAAAAAAGCGGACATCAAGCTACTCCAGTCCGACAAGGAAGGAGGATTTGTCCTGGTTCCAAAGCCACTCTATAAAGAAAAGGTGGTCGCAGCCTTATCAGGAAACTTCAAAAGTGCGCTCTGTCTCATCTCTCGGCTCTATCTTCTTTCTGAAATGTTCCTTGTGCACTAAGGAAGTATGTTTCTTTCAAAAATGCAATACCAACCAGCCCAAGTAGCCGCTCTTTTCCCACAGAGTTTTCGAAGTAGGTGTTGCATTAAAGAACTTTGCCAGCAGTGCAAGTGCATAAATTGGTGGAGCAACTCAGAGGTTCGCATATATCGCGAATTCCGCCAGACTGTCTGTAATTAATTTCTTTATATTCCCACAAAGAATAGGCTGACGTTGTGAGAAGCATACAAAATGCGGTTCACACGTTAACTTTGTGTTGCAGTGAAGCAAGTCCTGTTTTATGCAGGTGCCTATTTCAGCTGATTATAATTATTTTTTTTCATGCTGGAAGTATCAAGGCTGGGGTGCTTCAGCTGCCACTTATTAGAATCACTACAGTACATTGCCTAGTGACTCTTAAAGGCTGTCATTTCCAGCGTTTTGCGACGGAATCTGGAATTGGCGTCCTGTACCCAAAGTTTTCTAATTAACTGGGCTGGTTCTCACCACCACTTCAAATTATCTGCTCAAACTTGCATTGCAAAATACAGGATCATGGAAGTACTTTAAATTAAGTCAAATTTCAAAATGACAGAGTTCAAATTAGCGAGGTTTTACTGTATTATCAATAAGAGTTCCAAATCAACAGTGATGGTCCAGAAAATTGAAGATAACAGGCTGGTGCAGCCGCATTAATACTCTGGTTGTGCACAGCGAGAAGTGTCGGTCACCACTTCATTTTTCTCATACATGAAAATGTTGGGGGTTCCACTGCACTCTAGAGGGGTTGTTGGAAAGGCCAGGAGATTAGAGAATCTTTGCAATCCTTTGACGACTACCCAGTTAGATAGATAGATGTGTGGGGTTTAACGTCCCAAAACAACCATATGATTATGAGAGACGCTGTAATGAAGGGCTCTGGAAATTTAGACTACCTGGGGTTCTTTAACGTGCACCCAAATCTGAGCACACAAACTAACATCATTTCCGCCTCCATCGGAAATGCAGCTGCCGCAGCCGGATTTGATCCCGCGACCTGTGGGTCAGCAGCCGAGTACATTAGCCACCAGACCATCATGGCAAGGCAGCGGCTACCCAGTTGTGATAAGTGTAGTGCACGTTTAAAGTGCGCGTGACGAAAAAGAAGAGATGTGCGTAGACATAATGAAGAGGTACTGCGTAGACAATGATGAGGATGAACACGTCGCAGGCACAGGGACGCATGGCCCCAGGTGAACAAATTAAAAGATAACCAATAGGCGGCAACCACGAAGTTTCGGCGTAGCCAATCAGGACAGGACAAGTGGGCCAGAGTTGAACCAACATCGTAAGTCAGAGACCGGCAGGGGAGTTCGAAAAGAACGTGGTGAGTGGAAGGTTGTCACCGGACCGGGCGCTGAAAATAGGCCGTCGAGTGTCGAACCCGAGCCTCGAAGACCTTTACCGGCCGGGGCCTTCTGCCGTCGCGTTCCCGCTCGAGAGGATCATGGCCATCAGATCCTGACTGTAGCTCGCCTGCGGACTTCGGTTCCGACAGGCGAACTACAGTCGTTGGACTATGGGCCCGAGCTGTGCACCCAGCTGCCTGGCCAGGTTGACGCTGGCTCCTTGACGCGTCGCCGCCAGCCAGCGTTCGCACAATGCCACCAGCCAGCCCGTGTCTACTTCTAAAGCCGGAGCCACCGGTTTGTTAAGCGTTGCCCAGCCGTCGAGTTGGTGAGACTGAACTGATATCTTGCACTACTTCGCCACTCACCCGTGTCCGAACTGAATAGCTTGCTTTAATTAATTGACTCATGCTTTAGTTGTCATTCTAAGCACTTTACCGCTTGTAGTGAACTTTTCAATAAGTGTTTTTGTTTTGTGTGGGATTTTCGTGTTTTTACTTTTCTATTAAAATTCTTTTGTGGGTTTTGCTGTTGAAAACGGCTTTGTTCTTCGTTAAGACTCTCGGAGGCTCAGCCTTAGAAAGCTCTTACTAACGTACAAAGAACCTTGCATCACGATGAAAAAGACGCTGCTCTGTTACGATGGCTGCTCCGAGTGGTTACATTTGAAGTATCGGAAAAGTTTAGAGCATCAGCGGAAGCCGTGGCACTTGAGATCTGTTGAACGGAGATGCTCACCTGGACGATGAGCGATGACGCAGGCTGCACCGCCCTGAGTCCTGCCGGCCCTATGAGGCGTGCCAGCAAAGGTCGGGCACCACGTGGAGGCACAGGTATCACCTTGATGCCCTTCAGTGGCTGGCCACCCACCACCATGGCAGGCGGCCCTGTGGCACCACCCATCATGTACGCTGGGCTCGACTTGAGGGGCCCACTGCTCTGGTTAGCTGCATCCAAAGAGCATATCAAAAGGACGTACGACAGCAGCAGTGTGCATGAAGGAATGATCACATGTTGGCTGCTCATCAGTGTATAGATTACTCTAAAGTCTAAACATTTTAAGTCTAAAATACTTTCACCTTTATTTTGAAAACAAGGCCCCTGCAGCTGAATATGAGCCATGCATAGGTATAACCGGTGGTCCCAGGGGTGCAACAATGTACACGGGTTTGAAAGCAGGCAAAAGTGCCTTTTGTAGCAGGCTTAGAGCAGCCAGAAAGACGTTTTGGAGCAGGCTTGAAGCAGCCACAGAGGCCTTTTCGAGAGAGTTTGGACCAGTCCGAGAGAAGAACCTTCAGATGTGCTGTTTCACACACCTGTAAAATGTTTGTCTAGAGCCATATTTGTTAAACACCAAGCTCAATCGTGCAATAGCCTTATTATTGCGATAGCAATTACGTGGACGCTATCGACGGGCAGTCATGTATTGTATAAAAGTACTAATTGATAATACAGTCGAAACATGTGGTAACCAAATGCCGAGGGAATGAAATTCTTATCGCAACAAAATATTTTCTGAGTGAATGCATTTCATAACTCGCGACAATTAAACATATTTTTACTGCAGTTCCTCAATAATGAAACTTTCTGCATGAGAGCGCACTAATAATCTACTCTCGTAACATCAACTGCACTGAGAAACTGCTCAATTTGGGCTGAATTATTTGCCCTTATTTTTTTCGGTACCAAAAAATAAAAACACAAGGACAAAAAAAAACAAAAAAATCGCGAAAAACAAGAGGAGCTGGGGGTGGGGTCTCAATCGCATGCGCCAACACTAGCATTAGGGTTTTACAGTGGCTTGTAGTGGCTCAACACACGAGGGTAGGGTTTCCCACTAAGGTGAGAGTCTCAAAGGATCAACACAACTAACAAAATCTATGTCCGTCAAAACAACTTGAGTATGTCTTCCTGGGACACACGTGAACGGACGTACGGCGCAGCTGGCTGCTGCAAAAGCGCGGGTCAAATTTTGCTTACTACTAGATTCTTTTGACAGGAATTCCAGAGCCTGTCTGGCCTCTTTTTATAACGATAGCAATTATATGAACAGTCTAGGCTGCTTTTTGCCATCGCAGCCATCATTCACCATATATGTATACATAGCCATATGTATGAACACTCAAGAAAGAAAAAAAAGTCGCCGCGCTCGGTGCCCAGCTCGTTGCGATGCGCCGATGCGCGCACTTTTCTCTCACGCGTATTTTGCCTCGCATATGAGAGGGGAGATAAGATGCTTGTGCGTGCGTGCGTGCTTATTATTTGGTGGGGAGAATCGTGTGCCGTCAGCTTTCACTGGAACGATTGCATTAGTTGCCAGGCCCGTAAAATAAAGAACCAAATTAGAAAAGGGAAACTGCAGCCTTGACAACAGTACGCAAGATAAGCAGCGGTGGCACATGGAACTGCCGAGGGCAACCAAGGGATGGTGCTGAGTAAACAGGAATCACAAAAAATATTTGTTGTTTTTTTGTTTTTTAGGTAGGAAAAAAAAAACAAAAAATGGCCACCTTTTTTATTTCCAACCGGGTGCCTATGCGCCTACGCGGTTGCCTCAGCTGATCCTTTATTCTATGACTATCCTTCATAAACAGAAGTGGACGAAAGAGACCAAGACTCGTCCAGGGCTACGGGTGTCCCGTTATCTTTTGCCCGCTTGATTTAAGCGTGTTGATATGCCCAGCAGCACACCAAAGCCCCCTTCAGAACACAGTACCTGTGCGTACAAAGGTTGCATGGAACCGAAAGGCATTCATTGGCAGCTGGCACCAGTAAACACAATTCATGAGTGAGTACGGGGAACAACATTTATTGACAGCAACCCAGCAATTATGTTTCAATGCAAAAAAAAAAATCTATGTGTTAGAAGCATTACCGCGAGTTCACAAACGGCACGCCTTCATTTTGAGAGGCAGGACGAACAGAAAAGCGTGTCTCGTTAGCAGGAACTATCAATACAAAGCAGTCGTGAAAACCAGCTTGAGGTGCTTCAGTGGCAGCTTTGAATTACAGCTCCTGCTTTCGCTGAGCACAGCTTAACACCCACACTTTTTATTGCATTGCAACACAGTGCGGTAAAGCTGAGGACACAAGGAGGTTGAGTTTTTTGCAAGGAAATCAAAGCGGAGGAAAAGTCGAGAGATGTGCAAGCATTTGAACACGTGCAGGATCAGTGAAAATGAATGTAGTGCACAAATACACAACACTGACAGCGATAACAAGGTCTGAGGGTGAGATCACCAACAAAAAATAACGAATGTGTGTGTATTGGCAAAAATAAACTACCTGTCATTGCCGTGAAACTTGCAGAAATTGATGCCTTCACCAGTATGACAGTTTCTTCGGCACCATAAAGCAGTACACTGACTATACCTACAGCAACTGCAGTGACTAACAGGAGCGAATAAAAATATAGCAAGAAAACAACATGCTGAGGACCACGACAACCATCGGATGAAAACTAACTGTGCATAGCACGTCAGCCGGCCCCATCGAACAACAGCAGCGCATGTTTTCAGCTTCGTCACAGTCACCGATAAAAGAATCCACAGGAGAACTTGCATGGCACCGCGATCGCTAAACTAATTTAGTGCTCAGAAGTACCACGCACAACGCAGAATTAAAATGTTACCCTTCAATGATATAGAAAAGAGCACTTTTTTGCGAAAATGGTGGCTTTCTTTGCTTTAAATTTTGAGCTTACTATGGTGCCTCTAGCGGATTTTTCGGCGTCGCCGTGAACAGATTTGTACGGAGCTACTATGATTCTTCTTAAGCTGTATATTATTTCGCCACCCATTGGCAATGGGTGGTACTTGAGACTTTCCGAGGCCTGCCGGGCCCACAAAGGTCACTTTGGTCTCTCCACAGGCCTCTATGCGAAGTAGTCCACTTTGGCGTGTGTCTCTTAATGCTATGGAAAGTGATGGGGGAGCAACATAAGCCTTTCATGTAGACGCAGACACCGCTTAGCCTTTGAGATGCATGTAAAAAGGCGGGACTTTTTGACGTGGTCAAAAAGGCGAAACCACAATGAAAAAATTAAATAAAACTATCTTAATGGTGAGAGCTGCGGCCTCTCTCAAACAGCTCCTTGTAGAAAATAAAGGAGGAACATTTAACATTGAAAATAATGGGCGCTACTTTCGAGCTAACTTCACTGGCAATAGGATGCATGCGATTTGGCTCCATAGCTTTCCCTTCAGGGCCAAGAAAAGTTGACGCGGAATATAGCTTGTACTCTTTTGTACCTGTCATTAAGTATCGTGCATCGTTCTTGTTTAAACAGTGTGTTATGTGTCGAGCGGTAAACGTTAGTTCGCTCTCGTCCTGTGTGTATCGTTTTCGTGCATCATTTGTAAGTGAGCAGCACGCTGCACGTTTCGATCTGCTTGCCGTTCTCAGCGTAACACTCATAATTGTTGCTGTTGCATTCATTGCTTTGCCCTTATGATGAAATGGTGACTTTTTTAAAACGAATTTGCGGTCTTTAATCAACCGCTGCATGCCCTCGGAGCTCGTCAATCACTGTCCCCTTGCTGCGACCCCGGTTTCGTGCGCGGTGGTTGCGGCAAACAGTAGTTTAGTTCCTTTTACAATGCCCGTGCACTTGGCTGCGCACATGTCTTCAAAACTAAGTCGTTTTATGCCATCTACAATCGCATCTGCCGCAGTTCTGTCCGGAGAGCTCGTGGAATGCAGTACTGCTTTGACTGGTGAGTGCGCACTTTCGGGGTTCTGTCGGTTACGTCGTCCCCCTACATGATTGTGTCAACAGCTACTGCGGTTTGTTTCACAGCAGTTGCAACGACAATCACACGCACTGTAGAAGACAGTGCGAGCGCCGGTTGCACGCATACTTCCAAAGCTTCGAGTATGCTGCTCTCGGCCTTTGTTCGATGGCTTCCATACTAAAGTTAGTATCACCCGCCGTGATTAGAAAATGTGTTCGGAATATTCAAATTTAGACCCAATGGACATAGTGGAATTTGGCCGGGGATTTTCACGAATTCGTATCTGCTGCGGGAAAATTTCACACCAATGAGATTCTACTGTACGTTTAGATGAACGCCTTTTAAACTCATTTATAATAAAGTGGGCTAGGTTTGAAAAGCCTGGAGCGGATTGGCTGCTTTTTATCAATGCGGCCAAATCACACGCAGAAATTTCGATTTCCGGGAGAGTTTCATGACAACCATATAAACGGAAGAAACGGTTGAAATCTGGAAGACTTGGCAGGTATGCACAAAGAAAAAAATGACTGTGTAAGTGGTCCGGTTATGTCTCAACGTAAAAATAATATTGAACCTGTTTACCAAAGTTCCTTCTACTGAATTACTGCTGTATGTTAAGGTGCAAGATTACTACAGTAGAAGTTGCTACAATGTATAGTGTTTTAACTAGAGCTGTGCAAATAACAAAATTTTGGCTGCGAAGCTAATTTGAATATTGAAGTGTGAGTGCTAATCGAATGAAATATTTTTCAAATACTTCAACAATATTTTTCAAATAGTTCCAATTCCAAAGCATATTATTATGAGATATAGTGACAGGAAAGTGTTTCTTTTCGCTAGGCTGATGGTGGTATTTCATAGTTGTCTTATGAAGAATGAGGCAAAGCAGATCATATTTATCATGCGAAAGGCAACGGCTGTTAATTCGAATTTCGGGCCTCGCCTGGTGAGGTCAGGCCTTGAGACCGGAGGACTTTGGAGTCTCCGGTCTCTGTTTGGGAGTAGGCGGTGTAGCCTGGGCTGCAGCCGCCTTGGGGGCAGCTGCCACAACCGCCGGCTCGGTATGCGCAGGCCGAAGGAGGGGCGAGGTCTGGTGCGGCAGTGCCCCCTGACGCACCGCATCAGCATATGTTGGACCATAAAATGGCGAGACCCTTTCCCTTGCTTCCTTAAATGAAATGTTCTCCTTCACCTCCAAAGTAATTATCTCTTTTTCTTTCTTCCAGTATGCGCAGGAGCGTGAATATGCAGAATGGTTTCCTTCACAGTTTACGCAGTGTGGCGGTTGTTTGCAGTTCTCGGACACATGGCCTAGGAGTCCACATTGTGCACAAGTCTGGCGACCATGACAGCTTTTAGAGCGATGGCCATACTTCTGGCATTGGAAGCAACGACGAGGGTTTGGTATGTATGGCCTGAGAGAGGTCTCCGTGTGCCCTGTTTGAATGGACTCCGGCAGTTTACTGGAAGCAAACCTGAGTATTAAGTGTTTTGTAGGTGTTTCCTTGTTATCTCTTCTGATGATAATGCTCTGTACACTAGTCACATTTTGGCTCTTCTACCACTCCAAAAGTTCAGTTTCGGTAAGGTCAAGTAGGTCTGCGTCAGATACTACTCCACGAGTTATGCTCATTGATCTGTGTGGTGTTATGGTGATCGGTACGTCACCGAAAGATGAGAGGCCGTCTAGCTTTTCAAATTGTTTTTTGTTGCGAATTTCGACGAGGAGGTCTCCGCTAGCCATTTTGGTTACCTTGTATCCAGCCCTGAGAGTTTCGGTAAGACACCTCGCAGCTACGAAAGGAGATATGGTCCTGACTTGTTTTCCAGTTTTCTCACAGTGAATGACTTGGAAGTGAGAAAATGTTTCTGTTGGCTGGTTGAAAAAAAATCATGTCGTCGGTGCGTACCCGCTTTAAGCTGGTACAATCAGTAAGTAGGGGGAATACTCTATGCATGCCAGTCTTATTTTTGTTCAGCAGCGTTGGCGGCCACCCACCAAGGAGCCCAAGAAGGGGACGCCGCAAGTTTGCGGGTGCTGAAAGCTTGCAGAAATCAGCCGTACAACACTGCCATAACCAATTGCGCCTAGGCCAAGGTAGGCTATTTGCACAGGGTTAACCCTTGCCACCAGGAAAATGTGAAGTAAAAAGAAGAGAGAAGTAGACAGGACAGGCTAAAAGTGAGAGATAAAGACGAAGTTGTAGGGGAGAGAGATAGGAAAAGGCGACAGCCTATTTCCCCTGGGTGGGTCAGCCCAGGGGTGCCGTCTATGCGAAGCCGGGGCCAAAGAGGTGTGTTGACTCTGCTGGGGGGCCTTAAAAGTCAAATCACCCAGTGTCGGCTCAACCCCCAGGATCCCCTTTTCCCCGGACATGGCAAAGCCACGCACGGCTAGGCGTGGGAGGGAGTCGAAACTCCCCCGTTAGCTCGGGTCCGTGGTGTCGCTACGCACCAAACGCCTACTTGCGCAGGCGCCCCTGCGGGGCACACGCTGAGCTGGAATTCCGAATGATTGCAGAACATGCTTATAAGATTGCACTCAAATAGAGAAGTAACTAAGCCCAGCATCATTCAGTAGCATTAATCATCTATGTTTATAAAGAACAGTGAAATTTTTTTGAAAATTGTATAACCTCCTGAAGGATAGGTAAAATTATGGCTTGTTTTGAAGGGACAAGCCAGGTACGCAATATGTTCACTCGATATGACAAACTTTTCAAGTACAGAAAATTTCTTGGCTTGTGTTTTCCCTTTTCGTAGAAGACTAGTGAAGTGCTATGCAGTGCTGGATTACAGTCGGGCAAAAAGGACTTCTCAACCATTCTGAGTATTCTAACTGGCATCGAAAATAGCAGCCCTGTCTCCTCCCATATGTACAATTCATAGTGATGGACTGTGCACATCAGCTATACAACCCTGTCAAGAAGCAAGCCCTGAATCTATGAGCACAACTTGCTGCTCTGAAAATTTCACTGGCTTAAGCGCGAGCTCATGTGATAGAAGGTGTCACTGACCCAGAACGACGGTAGGCTGCGTTGCCAGCAGCATGGGCGTGGCTGTAGCCGGTGGTCCCTGCTGGGCGACAGTGATCAGGCGTGGTGCGGGCAGGAATGGTGAACTCTGTATGCGCAGGGCAGGCCTTGGGTTGCCCCCCACCAGGTTGCACACCACCTGCTGCATGATGGGTGGCCTTTTATTGTCCTCAGTCCACACAAGGGCACGGAGGAACACAAGAAAGTAGCACAGGTGCCGTGTCCCATTTGCTCACACCCACTCAAGTGGTGATGCTTGTTACAGACAATGTAACTGCCAACACTGGGCTTGCACTTCATCCCATGCAATGTCTCTCTGCACTGCCTAGGAGCAGATCAAGGCCACAAAAATTTAGCATCTCGTTTGTTCTATTGCAATAACGGCACTTTTATCATGGCCAGAAAGCAAGTTTGCTCGAGCACGCCACGACTTCGGAGACTGTTTTTATATGCCCAGTGGCAGTTTCAGTTTAAAAGGCTCCAAGTGATGCGGAGCCCAGAGTGGTTTTCATGTACAAATACAGCTGGCTACCTGAGCACACAAAACTGCATGCACCTGTTTTCAACAGAGGCTTCTAGTATCCTTTGAGACATTGTAGTTATTCACGGCCAAGTTAAGGATGCCAGCCATTGTACTCTCATGCAAGTATGCCCCTTTTTTCGTAGAAAAGGAACTGTACGTAGAAAGTCAACACAAAACTTGTTGACGCAGGTGCCAGTTGGTTGCTTACACAAAAACCAAAGGCAGTGGCACATGCAGTGGAGCAATATGCATTTTATTATTGTTTTTATGTTATTATATTTCCAATACTGGTGCTGTCATCTGAGTCTAGAACGAGGGCGACACAAAAAGTCAGTGCAATATACTATATAAAAATTATTAGAACAATCAAATGTACAATAAATGTAGGGAAAGAAGCTACAGTAAATATAGTACAACAAATAGTGGTTTATAAATATATACAATGAACATTTTCAATAACATTTTCAGGTGATACTGTGTAATGTTAAACATTCTTTATACAGTAAATAGCAATGTCACATTCAATTGGAAATATTCAAAATATATACAGTCAACTCTCGTTAATTCAAAATCGAAGGAACCTCTGAATTTTGTTTGGATTATCAAGAAGTTTGAATTATCAGAAGTTCTCAGATAGATGACTCTGGGTCAGGTGACCCCATACATTATGAATAGGCATTAATTTTATCACACTTGAAAACTGTTTAAGTGTTTTTAAACCCTAACTGCATGCAATGAACAGAAAGCAGAGGAGTAAGGTGCACAAGTTTGTTTGCTGATCAGATCTTTTAAAGAAATCATAAATCATCAACAGTTTCTTTGCTATGGTATGTGCCTTCAGCACAAAGTTCTCTATACCAGTTGAGAAGCATTATGGTTTACCATGCATGTGCTTTGTTTCAAACATTTATTTACTAGCAAAGCCTTTTTTTGTTGAAGGCCTGAGGTGCTTATTTTTCATTTTGAGACTGTTAGGATTATAGACGAGCTTACATATAACGGCCCCACTTGAAACATACTTTCGCCGAAAACAAACAATATCCGCATGACCATGAAAATATACATTGTTTCAACGGAAGAAAATCGCACTTACAACGAACATCCTCAAGCGTCGTCGATCGGTTACAGCGAACGGAGTCGGCGCTCTGCCGACTTTCAGGGAAACCACTTTGGACTACCGATCAGGCATTAGCAAGGTGCCCATAGATTCTTATTGTTAAACGCCGACCCTGCCTCCGTGCCCCTCTAGTTACCGCTCTCCCTGACCGCTTTTTGTTATGTACCCCTCTGTCTTTTGTCCACCCGCTACTCCGAGCACCCCCCAACGCCAGACCAGGCCTGTGTTTTCACAGTGCCACCAATCTGTTGAAGACCTGTCGGACATCTCCCCTCAGTTTTTGATCACTGGTACTGTCATTGGCATCACTGGCCTGGAGTGACCAGACCATTTGCCAAGATCGTCGGCCACCGACTGTATCCGATAGTCTGCGTCTAGTGCACGCGCGTACGCTACCTCACCGACTCTTATATTTGCGATTCATTTCGACTTTAGGACTTGTTCTCGCTCACTTCACACTCGGCTCAGCATGCCCTCCGCACGTGTGCAGAAGCGTAAAAACAGGTGTTAATTTGTGAGGAAGGAATCGCTAAATATCAAAGTCGATGAGGCCATGCAAACCCGCCGCGCCACAAAACAACTCTTTGACCTCTGCGCGCCGGCACTCTTTGAAGTTTTTGTACGCGTCAGTTGCACGTTTCGCAGACCTTTCAAGCAGGCTACCCAACCTGCCTCCTTTCTGTGTGTTTTGGTTTTCAAGGTCGCCTTCCCAACGCATCCTCCTCTCTCTTCACTCTATCGCAACTCCTTGCCCTTCTCTCGCAAATCAGCTGTCCTCTCTTGATCACAACCCCTTCGCCCGTGTCCACCGCTCCGCGATGCCAGCCACGCTGGCTTGAATTAGTTTTGTTTTCCGACTAGAAACAAACCCAGAGCTGTTTCACGCGTTCTGGTATGTGTGTCACGTGTGTGTGTCTTGCTCACTCTTGGTGTGCGTGTGTGGTCAGGATGGCTGACGGGAGGACTTGCATGCTTTTTTCTGCCGCTCAACAAAACGTCGAAAGTGTGACCGCTTGGCTTGGGCGTAATCCGTGCGTTAGGTGTCGCGTTGCGGAGCGCTTGCTCATAGCTGCCGACCACCTGGCAGCCAACTTGCCGCTTCGGGCGTCTCGGTGTTCAGCTGTGGAGATGGTGAATATTTCGAGGGCGACGGCTACATGCGCGCAAAACTGTTTTCGCGAGGTCGACTTCATCGACATCGGGCCCGATGCTGAGCCTGAAGCTTTTGAACAAGACTACTCCGGCGGCGATTTGTGGCAGCGCGTCATAGTGTCCGACATGGGAGAGCAAGGGCGACATCTGTTGCAATGGTTTTATTACGGCCGATGATGATGCTGACATCGAGGATGTAGGACCTTGTGAATGAAGTACTCGGCAAGAACGATTCAGAGGAATTGGATCACAAGAACGACAAAACTTTGGAGCCAGTGCTTCATGCATTTATGCATGCTGCAGATCGAAATAAATTGGAGACAGCCCTTATCGTTTCTGCTCTTCGAAGCACTTGCATCGCGGACTTTTTTGAGCAAAAAATTTTGCGTTTTCACTCGCAACTTTTTAAAAAGCTGTGTTTCATTTACTACGCACAAACTTCAGAATACAGCAAACGAATGCAGCGCCAGGCTCAGGTTCGTTATAAGGGGGCTCGACATATATAAGCATGCAAATTTTTAAATAGTAATGGGAAAGCAGCAGATATTTTCTGGTACTGGCTGCGAGATCGAACACAGTCGGCGCCTACGGGGGATCGAGCGAAATGGTGAAGTGTGGATGCCGGTTAGCCGTGGTTGCTTGGGTCGCGTTGTATGCAGTGTTTCTCGGCGTTTGCATTGTAGTTCAGGGCCGCACTCGCGATGGAAGTCGACGACGATGGTTTGGTCGATGGTCAGTAACCTGCCAACATTTTATTTTCTGCTTTTTGTAACCGAAATTTGTAAAGGCATCGATGCGAAGTGCATTTGCTTCATGCGACTTTGCAAAAGGCGCTCGTCGCCGTTTAACGTATTGTAAAGCTAAAATATGCGTTCTCTTTACGCTTCCAGTGCCCTTGTCTTTGAGCATCATTTTTGATCATGTTGGAAAAGGTGTAAGGTGCCTCGTTGAAGACGACGGAGTCATTGTAGCGGGCCATATTATTGAATGTAGCGCCGTTGCGTTGACGTGCTCCTCTCACAGTCCAACACACATAATTGCATTTGTGCTGCAATCATCTGGACTCACGAAGGATCCTCAACGAGCCAACTTGAAGTTGGCCAGCGATGCAAAAATGGTAGAATTGAACTGCACATGTCCTGCATGATAAATAGCACCGGTGCCATACGGCTACTTTTTTTATCGCAATCAGGGCCGATTCGAATCAGGTTCTGCTACACGGTGACTCTTAACATTGTTCAGCTTCAATCGTAATCCAGTCATCATGGTCTAACTTATGCCTGTGCCAAACTTGATCAGGATAAGTTTAACCTGTGCCGCAGCGACCATTGCCGATGTATATCGAGAAATCATATCCATGTCGGCGCTAATCGCAGTGAAAGTGCCTGTGTGATCAAGTTGTGATATAATTCATCGCGATACTGAGCTTGCTTTCCGATTCGGGCTCTGCTAACCCCTTACTTCACATTATTGAGGCTAATGCCTTAAGTGTCTCACACACCCGAAATTAAACTGTCGGTGGCGTCACCATAAAAAAAAAAAATCGCAAAACATCCACGGAGTGAATTATGATAAGTAGGGCAAAGCGTTCGTCCGTGCGTCCAGACAGAGGCACAATCGCAGGGATGGAGACAGGCTCACGGAAGCACGGACAGCCAAAACAGACATGCACAGACAGACAGACAGACAGACAGACAGACAGACAAAAGGACACCCAGACAGATAGACATGAACGAACATTTCGCCCCACTCATCATCATTCCCTCCATAGATATGCAGTGAAAAACACTAACGCCGTCTTATTATATTATTCCCAAACACATAAACACACAAGGCCATCTATTGAGCAACCAATCTAAAGAAGGCTACATACGGAGGGGAGAACGACTATACATGCATGCATGTACAATCTGGCATATGAATTGCTTTTGAAATGTATATTCTGGTGTATACAATGCATGGCCTGTCATTATGTTTGTCACATACTTATATCATGCCATACCAATTTTTATATATATCTAGTTAAAGGAGTACTGACATGATTTTGGAGAAATCACAAAAAGGAGATCTATATATTTAATTGAATAGTCGCAAGCGCCCCAAGACCATGTCATTTAAATCATGCTGCACATGGCATACATGTCATGTTTTCCGAGTTGTGACCTGTAAGCAACGTGTAGTCACACACTCCTTGCACGCTAAATAAATGTTAGTGTACACCCAATTAAAGAAACAGTCACAAAAGCACGAAGACACCACAACATGTGAATCATACTATTCATGGCATGCACATCATTATTTTTTTTGGAATATTACCAGCAGCCGTACTTTAAATTTGTGGTCGGAATGA